TACTCAGGTGTCATTATAATGCAATATAGAGGATTATAGCAGCATACCTCCATCAAATGTGTGTCGATGTGCTAATCTGTACAGGGAGGAGTGATATATTCGGAGTCTACACCAAAGTCAGTACACAATGGTGAAACGATGAAGAGATCGTAGTGTAAGTATGATTGTCGTGAGTACCGCTGACAAACATAAAGGGGGTAAGCTATCCACATTCCAAGTATACCCGTAAAGAGTGACTAAAACAGATATATGTATAGGAACCTGTCAAAGAAGGAAGAAAAGAGAAGAAAGAAAAAGATGGGAGTCGGGAAAACGCAAAAAAAAAAAAAATGGGGGAGGGGGGGGGGGAGGGTAGGGGGAGGGAAACTGGGGAGGGGGGGAGGGGGGGAGAGAGAGGAGAAAGGGGAACAGTGGGAGGAGGTGAGGAATAGGAGGCGGGAGCTGCGGATTTTGTGTCATCATCCATATAATAAGTCATAAATGGACGGGCCAAAATTCTAGACTATCACCAGTGTCAGGCAGTCAGGTATAAAACACCGAGGAAAGGTCGTTGCCATCCACTCCATGAAAGGAAAAGGAGTATAACCAGCAGTGGGGCTGAGTGAAATCAGGTGTCCTGACCCATGAGGGATCGGTATGTAGGAGTGGTTACAAAATGGGTCCAGCAGGCCCAAACATGAGAGTATTTGGATGGCATATCAAGTGCAGTCGCAATCAGTTCTTCCATTTCCGCCATTTTGCCCACACGAGTTAGCCAATCGCGTATGGAGGGGGGGCGGGTGGAGCCCCATAGAATGGGGAGACAGAGTCTGGCTGTGCTGATCATATGCATAGCTAGGGACTTGAAATACTGTTGACTACATTTCTAACTCTTACCAAACGCTCCTATAGCTTTAGTATAAGCGTTACACAGGCACTAATGAGCTTTAGTAAGAGCTTTAGACAGGTGTTAATGAGCTTTAGTATAGGTATTAAAAATGCTCCCCAAATGCCCTATGTGCAGTTTTAAAGCATTTGAAAGCGTTAAAACCACACCACAAACAAAATAAACTGTAATGTTGTTAACACTCTGCAACCACACTGCAAATGCCTCACAAATGCCTGTCAGGGCGTTTGATGAGCATTACCATAGACTTGAATGGGAGGAATTGATAGGCTTCAATCTCCTCCTGACTCGATGTGTGGCTTCAATTTTGAAGCAACATGATGCTAACACTTCATGTTTTGATAATGTGAACAGCACTGTGTGCTGCCCATAGTATCACTTGCATAGGAATTTGAGAAGCTTTAAAAACACCCCTCAAACACCTGCTTTCAAAGCCAGTGTGAACTAGGCCTTAAGCATGTGAGAACCCAGCAACTTGTCTTACACAGGAGCCAGTTTCTCAACCAATGCCACATTCTCTGCATATGTGAACTTCAGATTTTGTTGTCGACCATCTGATTGTTTCCTCTTTTTATTAGGGGCAAAGGGTATTGGCTTGTCACTGCTGTCACTTGAACTTTCCTGATGTCTGTATTTCTTGGTTTTTTGAGAGAGTTATCTTCATGAAACTGTCACTGCTTTCACTTGAGTGTTACTCAACACAGGGCACGTAAGTTTAGTCGGCAGCCTCATCATCCACTTCTGTACTGTTATCTATGTAATTGACTTGATTCGGAGTTAAATTGTGTTGTCTTCTCTCTTGAGTAGTGGCCCTTTGTGACCCTTTTTCTTCGTCACTTGCCAAGATGGTGGAATCTTGCGAAAGACAGATCTGCTGAGAGATTTACATGACATTAATAACATGTTTGCTTGTTTGATGTTAGCTTTCTCAGAGGTTTAGACTAACCTTGTTTGTGTTTCTTCCAGATGAGTAAGACTTGGTGGGCGACCTGCCGATTCTAGGATTGCTTGCTTCTGTGGCATCATTGTGTTTGGGGCACTATGAAAAACATAACAATACTTTTAAGTTACTGAGTATTTCACTTTACGTTTCATGTGTAAAAATACTACCTATTATTTACCATAAGCTGGGCTGGTTTTAACAATCCCCTCCTTCCTGCATTTTTTTTTTTTGGTAATGCATTCTTTAACTATAGAATCACAAAGTTATGCACAGTTAGATAGAGAAATTTGAAGTATGCTTGCTTGGAATTGAGGTAATACCTTCACAAGAACGCAGTATGGCACTTTGGGAATTTGCCATTCTGAGGTCTTTTTCCCCTTGGTATTTTCTGGGAAGAATATTTTGGGTGCCTACAAAAGAAAGAAAATGAAGACACTTATTTCAATAAGAAATTCCTTCCAACAACACTAGATGCATATTTACAGCAAACTATTGACACTGCACATGTGTACATTTAAAGACACATGGATTAGGACTGGAAGGAAGCTATCATGACTTACCTCCAGAGCATCCTTTCTTGCTCCCCTCTCTTGCTCTTGGCTTAATTTGGGATAGACTATCTGTTGGACAATAAAAAAAAAATCATGTTAGCACCAAAATCAGAACCTATGTATCTGTAAGTGTGATTAATAAATATATACTTACATTTGAATATGGATGTTTTAAGGATCCAGCAGGTGACTTGTGCTCCATGTTTTCGCACTGTTAAAATGTAAATAAAACTGTTCTTAGCAGGAACAGAGAAACTATCTGTAGAGAGAAAAAACATTTCCCAAGGGTTGAATTGAAATGTATATTAATGGTAAGGAGAACAAAAAACAAATGTGATTCATAAGCATGTATATGTACCTCTGCTGTTGAAAAGTCTTCCTCAAAGTTGGATGTTTGGAGATGTAAATAAATAAAATATCTTGGTAAGATTACATGTAGTTTGTGTTATCTACTTTTCCTATTCTAAACCATATCAAACAACTGCACGCACATGTTGGGGCATGCTTCACAAGTCCAAACAAATGAGGAAGAAAGGCTGAACATTTACACTGGGCAGTTTTGGACAAGCATGAAACGCGCAGCAAGCAGTGAAGGACACAACAAAAGTGAACAGCTAAAAACAGGTCTAAACATGCAAAATTGAATAATATACTGTATGTCCCAGAATACAGAACAAACATGTGCAACAAACAAGCCATGAAGCAGAAAAGATGTCATGTGTCCCAGAATGTTTAGAACAAATACGTGCCACAAACAAACCATGAAGGAAACATGATGCCTTGTGTTCCAGAAGAAAGGAGAACCAAGTGCTACAAACAAAACATGAAAGTGCATAACTGCTAAGACAAATAAGGCTGTTGAAAGGATTAAAAGTGCTTTACCATGTGCTCCACCAGATACAGAATGTTCGGCTTCTCTTCTGAACTCTCCTCTGCCATTGCTTACTTCCGTCAAGGCCCTGAGAAGTGTGTGCCGGAAAAAGACGTCTCGCCTGCTGGATTTAATGACGTGTGGTAAATTACTGCACGGCTTCATGCCTTAAATACTGCAAAACACAAACAAATACTGTATGCAGTATTGTAAAAGCATTTTTTCATGACTAGCAAAATTTATTCTGAAAAATGATGATTGCTATTTTACCACATTTCTTAAAGTGGTAAATACTGCTTTGTGAATGGAGTCCATAGTATGTTATTTTACAATGAAAACTGTGCCCCTGTGATGCAGGGTAAAGGTTAGGGGTCAGTGAGATTGAGGCTGAGCATTCAGCTACAAAGCACCCCAATCAGTGGATATAAAGACCATAACAGGTATGAGTATCGCATAGAGTAAGTAAGTTGAGTAAGTAGAGTATAGTAAGTTGTATCCTAAAGGATGTCCATTGCTTGCTTCCCAGAAGAGATGCCTCTCTAGGCAAAGATGTTGTCTGGGTTCTGCAAATAGCCCAAGGCCTAGTTGGTGACCCAGTGGTCTGTGCAGGTTGGAAAAAGTATCAGTTCAGAGGAATGATTAGATTAATGTAATAGATGAACTCAGTTAATGATAGGGTTCAAATCCTCCATTTAGCTGTTTGTAAGGTGTTACATAGCAGATATCTTAAAAATGGTTGGGCACAAACAACTTTTAATCAGGTTAATGGAGGAAAGGCTAGGGTTGGTTTCTGGAAGTTTTAGTCTAGGAGAGAGTGCCATTATCCCTTGGAATCACAGTAGATCTTTGGGGTATATCATGGAATATATTCTCTGAAGCTAGCTGTGTTCGTTGTGAGACCTTAAGTGATTCAAGCTTGTGAGCTTTATCCATTAGCTGGGGTTAGAGGTTTAGAACAATTCTCACAGGAGGAAAGCTCCACAAATTGGGTCCTTAGGGTACCATGAAATTATTAGACCAAGAGATAGCATTCAGTAGTGTGTGGTAGAATGTTATTCTTATAAAGCTTTATAAAGTGTGGAGATAACTTGGCTAGAGGTTGAGATGGGAGAAAAACACAGTGGTGGGGTATTTGGCAGAGTGCACTTGGGGAGGTGGTCCCAGAGTGGTTCTATTGGCCTGATGCTTGGGATTGGGGAGTCACCAGACATCGGTATATAGTTCCCTTTTGGGGAAGAAGTATTTGGCCAGTCTATTTTTGCTACTTGAGGGAAGCCCAGAAGTCACACAAGATCAGATTTTAACTCTTAATGTTTAATGATGTGGGTTCCACCTGCTCTCCTGATATGTAAATGGAATGAAAAACCCAATATATAAGGGATGTTGTGCTCTTAATGTAGCGTCAGCAAGGGTTTGAAGTGCATTTCTGCTTTTGCAGTAAAATTTGACAAACCCACACTATAGGTTTGTTTTGCAGCATAATTAAAATAATAATTTAAAAAAATCTTATTTTACTAGTTGTTTGTGGGTGGAACAAAAATACCTAAAGAAAAAATAGCGAGCAATGTTAAAATTTTTTTAAGGCATGTTATGTTAACCACTTCCCGTGCACCCTATAGCAGAAATATTGCTACAGGGCGGCAGGGGTGCACAAAATCATGTATATATACGTGATTTTGCCTTTCCGGGTAGGGGGCGCACATGAGCCGCGTGCGCGCCTTACCCGTGCCGCCATTCACCGGCGTCCCGTGATTTCCGACGATCTCCGACGGGGAGAACTGTTTTGTTTACTAACAGTTCTCCTCCCTGTCAGCTTGGTCACACTGCTTTGGATGGCTGTGCACAGCCATCCAAAGCAGCGTGCTTACAGTGAAGCACACTGACACAGCCCCCTATGTAAATCACTCCCAGCACACAGTTAACCCTTTGATCACTCCTCATATTAACCCCTTCCTGCCCAGTGCCATTAGTACAGTGTCAGTGCTTTTTTTCACTGTATTGGTGTCACGGGGGATGTCAGTGACACCAAGTCAGTTCCCCCCAGTTTCAGAATGCCCGCCGCAGTCCTGCAGTCCTGCTATAAGCCACTGATCGCCGCCATTACTAGTAAGAATAATAATAATATAAAAATCCAGTATCTATACCTCCATTTGTAAACGCTAAAACTTTCACGTAAACCAATTAATATACACGTATTGGGATTTTTTTTTAGTAAAGACATGTAGCAGAATACATTTTGGCCTACATTTACGATGAAATTTGAATTTTTAAATTTTTTTACTGGACATGTTTAATAGCAAAAAGTAAAAAAAAAAAATTTTTTCTCAAAATTGTCGGTCTTTTTTTTAGAGAGCAAAAAATAAAGAAAAACACACAGGCATTAAAATACCACCGAAAGAAAGCTCAATTCATGGGGAAAAAAGAACATACATTTCATTTGTCTGCAGTGTTGCATGACCATGCAATTGTCAGTTAAAGTAACACAGCGCCGTAATGCAAAAAAAGGCCTGGTCAAGAAGGGGGGTAAATCCTCAGGAGGGAAAGTGGTTAATGACTCAAATGAAGCACACACAGAGCACTGATTTGTGGCACATATTTTTCACATTAATGTGAGCAAAATTGAGCTGGAGTGGGGATATCGTCACTCATATCATACCATATCATAGCATACCACACTATAAGTTTTCATTTTTTGTTTTTTTTTTTTTATGTTTATGACACTTGGCACTTGAATGTGGTAAATAGAGAAACAAAAGAATAGAGGAAGAAGATTAAATCAAAACAAGACACATTGCCACAATTGATATTGCAAACTTTATTGGACCCAGTTTCAAGAAGGACCTATCAATCTGATGAGGATCCCATGAGAAAAGAGATCAATCAGGTGAGGATCCCCTCTGATTGAGGGTATGCTTGGACAAGACAGGGAGCAGAAGAATATTTGCACCATCAAAGTTTATTCGCTTTTTGCATTATGACTTTCTTCACAGTGAACAAGTGTACACAGCAGATAAAATCTCATGGACAGGTTGAGTAGGGGTTTCTTGTCCCCAGGGTTCAATGCTTCCTGTCAGTTTCTATGTTCATGTACTCTGGGTCATGAGTCAAGAGTCCAAGAGTTGGAGTTAGACTAATAAGTCGCTGACTGTTGGAAGCACGTCTGTTACCCCAATTACCTAATGTTAATATAACATTTCTGTCATCATATAGGGGAAAAAAGTCTGAATCTGAAATTCATGGGCATCTAGGTGCTATGTCTGTGTTGAGATTGTGGCCTGCAATGTCGTACAGGTCGATTCCAAAGCTGATGATTTGGTATAAATAGATTTAACATCTGCCTTAAGTGCCTGGATCTCTGTTTTGTAGCTTCTTTCCAACCTCTGGATAAAACTCCCATCTTAAATATAGTTTAGATTATTTTATTACATTTCCTAAAGTCCTGTGGAGGAAATACAGACTTTATACAGATCTTTATACCCTAAGGGGTTGAACTCGGACATAGACATTAATTGTTTTTTTGTCTAATTGGTAATAGCATAGTTATTTTTATAGAGATATTCCAATAAATATTCTTTATGTGTGTCTTATCACTACTAAATAGATTTTTCATATATTTTATATGTCTTTTCATATAGTTTTTTTTGATTATTTGTATTTAATAAAAAAAAAAATTATTTTTATTTTTCATTTTTATTATTTTTTATTTTTATGTTTATTTTTATTTTTATTTATTTTTATATTTTTTTTATTTTTTTATTATTTACAGTTATTTTTATTTTTATTTTATATAATTTTTTTATTTTTATTATTTATATTTATTTTTATTTTTATTATTTTTTCATTTTTATTTTTATTTTATTTTATTTTATTTTAATTTATTTATTTTTATTTTTATGTTTATTTTTTTTATTTTTAATTTTTATTTTTTTTTATTTCAATTTTAATTTCATTTTTATTTTTATTTTTATTTTATTTTATTTTATTTTCATTTTTATTTTTTTTATTTATTTTATATTTTATTTTATAATTATTATTATTTTCATTTTTATATTTATTTTTTATTTTTATCACTATTCAGCAGTGATGTTATTCATTACTCATTTAATAAAGAACGTTTTTTGTAATATGTAGGCAATTTTTAATTTACATTTATATTTATATATTTTTTCCCACTAAAGATATGTGTTAATATATATGTTGTTGCTGGGAGAAAATGAAGTAGTGATGGGAATAATTTAAAAAGGTTTTTTAAGTTGTGTAGGTATATTCCTCATTTGTAAAGGACTCTCACGTCACATAACAGGAGGAGTGGTTTTTGATAATCCTGGGGATGGGTTTTGACTAATTGTAACGGAGGGGTGGGTCCCTGTTGGGTATTTAAGGGAGCTTTAGACAGGAAATGGACGTCTTGAGAACGCCCGATGGGAGGGGCGAAACGCGTTGACGCATTTCCGGTTTTTACGTCTGACGTCACTTCCGGTGAGTGGAGCGCACGCTGAGCGGTGCGTTCCAGCGGCCATCTTTTGGGATCTGTGCATGTTTGGTCTCTGTGGAGCTTCTGCTGTATCCTGGAGCTGTGATGTGAGACTCCTGAGGAGGTTGTCTGACATTCATTGTCCATTTGGAAGAAGCTTGTCCTAATAAATATGCCTTTTTAAAGTGATTTAAATGTGAGTGGCCTTAATCTTTGTTTTTATTTAAAAACGGTATTTTGCAATATCACACTATCTGAGATTTTTCTCTCCCCGGTTGTATGGTGGAGCCTACACTGAAGGTGAGGATTCCTATAGAGTGGATACGAAAGAGGGTTTAGGATCCCATACAAATTCCTAAAAGGCGTTTCATTCACCTAAATTTGGTGAGTGCATTTGATGTTGGTTTGCACGGGTGGAAGGTGGAAGTTTTTTATTTACATTAGAAGAAGAATTTGTGATTTTTTTTGCACAAAAAATATTTTTTTTGAGATTTCTGAACTTTTGTTGTCTATTAATTATGATGGACTTTCACTATTAATATAATTTTCTATATATGTTTGCACTTTATGTTTTGATTTGATATAGAGGTCTATGTTTGCGCTGTTTATTTATATTTATGAAATACAGACTGGCCTGTCAGTGTACTCAATGGTAAGAGATTAGGAATGGGTACAGAAGAGAGGTACTGTTAAATTTGAGTGGGTGCTTAATCTCCTGTGCATGCTGTGATGTTGGCTGGTGCATACTGAGCTGTGGCCTGTGGCAAAAATCTCAGATATGCCTCTCTGGGGTGCCAATGTTGTCAGTCAGAAGGACTGCCTGATTGCTCACATCAGTAGCAGACAATTGATGAGCAGGTTATCTCACCTGGTGGGATTTTTCAAAGGCTGCAAAGAGAGCTCAACATTCTTGCTGCCCGCTCTGTCATGTGTTGTCCACACCTCCACTATGTGAACAATTTTAATCTATTAAACTGTTAACCCCTTGTTGACAATTATATGTTGATTTTGAATTTATGCTGTTTAGAGGACTGAATTCCAAAAATTCTCTCTCTCAGTAGAATGGGATTAAAGTGTCATTTAGTCCTAACACACTCTGTATAATATGGATAAAATATGTTTCACACTGTTTAAGTGATACTAAACTTTATGGTTTGCCTAGTCAAACATCTTCTTTATGTCTCATTATCTAGCAAAGTGATTTCCTTTTCTGAGATGTGATTAAACTCAAATTTACTTCTTAGTTAAGGTTTAGCTTTTATTTGAAGGAAAAAGTAGACCTCTGAAACTGGCAGTCTTGCGCTAATAGCTATAGCACTCTGTGAGACCATTAAATGTAATCCTTCCTTCAAACTCACTCCAGGGGTGATTTCAATTAAATTTGTTCAAAATTTATCAGTTTCCTGCATGTAGGCATAAATGATTCAAGGCCACTTACATATTCACTGAGTGGAATGCATTGAAGGGGAAGTATGATTGTTATAACTTTCCACAGTTCCTTCATAAATTCACTTAATAGGAGCTTTTGTGATTAAATGCTTGCCCTCCTCCCTTTAAAATAGCTTTTTTTTTTTTTATTTGGATAGGATCTCATATTGTATTCAAATTTTCAGTTTTATTCTGGCCTGCTGAAACTGTACTTTTCTTTTTGCATGCTATCAGATTTAAAATAAGATATTCTGGGCATTATTAAGGCCGACAGGAAAATTATTTCCCATCGGCAAAGAAAGATATTGAACATTTTTTTGTTAGTATTGCATTTCACAGTTGATTCTAAAGCTTTGTTTGATTTTTTTTTTTCTATTCGGTGGTAAGGAAATACTGAAATACTTAGAAAAATAATAATATGCTTTATTGTACAGTATGGTGATTTGCAGTCTGCAGAATTATAATTCTACAGTGTAAGAGTAGGTTTGTTCATACAGTATATTTATTATTACAGGCTATACTTTTTAGGAAGTTAACAGAACTGTTGACATATATTTCCCTTTCTAAATTCTTACCCCACATCTAAATACTTTTTTTGTAAACTGTTCCACACTAATTCTGTGGTAAGCAGCTGAAATTACAAATCCTTTCTCGGTCAAGTCATTGGCAAAATTACAAGAAAATGAAGAATCGGAACCCAAGGAGATAATTAAAACTAGGAAGTGAGGGGAAGGAACTTGGAGAAGAGAGAATAAGAGTATAAGCATGTGGAAAGGAGTGGTGAAAGAGAGGTTTCCTGATGGCCATATGGCTTACTGCTGTGTTAGGAGGATCAGAAAACATATCAAACAGGTAATGAGATGATGTTATGTGGTTACCCCTATAGAAGGCTTGAGAACATCCTAATGAAGGCAAAATGTAGTTTGCAAGCTGGTTTTTAAAGCTAGAAATTTTTTTTTTGGATTGGCATTACACACTTACTCTTTGAAACAGTTTAGAGAAATCTGGGGTGGCATTCCTCCCCTAATTGTTAGTAAATGTAAGTCTAGCAGTGAAATGAAAGTAAGCTACAGTGGTTTTATAATGTGGAAATACGTTCATATCTTCAGCAACTCTAGTTGGTGATGAGGTTTTGTAAGGATGCCTGTTATCTTATACAAAGTTTTAAACACTGTAGACCAGAAACCTA